GCCCATTCAAAAATCATAAAAAAAGGGGCATTGCTCTGTCTAGCCTACAATCAGCATTGAACAAATCTTGCCTCCACACTATAGGAGAGAGCTTCAAATCGCAAACAGCGAGACTGCAAAAAGCCGGCTATCCATCCGCCCTACTGTCAGATATTGCGAGCACCATAATTAGGAAAGTAAAAGGGATCCAGAATACAAAACGTAGTGTGGAAAGAAAGAGACCAGTTGTCATCCCGTATGTGCACAAGATTTCCCATAACCTAAAAAATGTTGGAAACCGCTATGGAGTTCCGGTGGTCTTTTCAGCTCCCCAAAAGATGAGTCAGATTTGCCTAAGAGTCAACGCCAAGGCAGAGGGAAGTCTAAAAAACAGATGTTCAAAAAAGCACGCCAAGCCGCTTGTGCCTTGTGCCACGGGTGTTGTTTACAACATACCACTATCCTGCGGCCGCTCCTACATTGGACAAACAGGACGCTGCCTAAACGACAGGCTCCGTGAGCACGACTACTCCCTCAGAGCCACGGTGGGTGGGAATTTTTCACTTCACTGTAAAGAATGTCTATGTGAACCGTCTTTTGATGCCACCACAGTTATGGGAAGACACCGAGACAAAACAACCCGAGAGGTTCTGGAGGCTTTTTACATCCACAGTGGAGGAGCAAGTTGCATCAGCACACCATCTGTCTCGTTGTCCAACAAAGAGTTGGAGTTCATGAAATTCATTTCATTTCATTTCATTTATTAACTATTTTGAAGTGGGGTGGCAGGGACAAAAGGTGCTTAATAGCACCTGACCAAGATCCCGAGCCCCATACAGGTTTCAGAGCGGCAACACAGATAAAAACAATAAAAAACAAAAACAAAACAAAAAAACACACACAAAAAAACAAGGTTGTTTACACATTGGTATCCAATATATTATTCAAGCTTCAAAATATAATCCTTTATTCTTTTTTTGAACGTATCTATTGAATTTACTTCTTCAGCTATTTCCAGAATTTGAGGATGCATGTTTAGAAGTTGGGGAATTTGCTGTGTTAATGTTTGTTCACCATAGCTCGTACGTGTGTGACCTCTAGCATAATCCACACGTCTTAAGTTGTAGTTAGTTTCTTTTAAGGGAAATTGGGTGTGAAACGACTCCGTGTCAGTTTTGAGATAATGAAAGATGGCTTTTGTAAGGTTGAACATTATTAACTGTTGTATAGTAAGCAAGCGATGTTTTTTAAAATAAGCAGATGTGTGATCGTTATAACTTAGACACTCGATAGAACGGATCGCTTTTTTCTGGAGCACTAGTAGTTTTTCAAGGTTATTTTTAGTAGTCGTACCCCAAACCAATGAGCAGTAATGTAAATGAGAGTGAACAAGTGCATAGTATAATTGGCACTTAAGCCATGTTGGTAATAAATATCTTAATTTGTGTATTGTGCCAATTGATCTGGAGAGTGTTATAGACAACTTGGACACATGAGTTGTCCAGTACAAGTGTTCATGAAACCACACACCCAGGAACTTTAATGACTCAACCTTCTCTAATTTGTAGGAGTTAAATTTTATATCTAAGTCGTAGTTAAGCATCTTATTTCTTGCCCTAAAAACAATATATTTAGTTTTTAAAATATTTAATTCAAGCTGGTTTGCAACTAGCCACAGTGATAAATCCATTAACCAATCATTAGCTGTGCTTTCGAGATACTGGAGGTTACTATCGGAAAAAAATACATTCGAGTCGTCTGCGAATAATACCATTTCTGAGCGATGCGAAATATTAACGATATCATTGATGTAAATAAGAAATAGTAATGGTCCTAAAATTGATCCTTGCGGGACGCCATATGCTATTTGATGGATGTCTGATTTGACGCCGTTATAAGTGGTGAATTGTAATCGAGAACTTAAGTAACTATTAATTAATTTGTTCGCTATGCCCCTTACACCATACATGTTTAGCTTTGTTAGTAGTATTTGATGTTTAATTGAATCAAAGGCTTTTCGGAAGTCAAGAAATGTTCCGATGGTAAACTGATTATTTTCAATGTTTGTAATAATTTTATCTTTAATATTTACAAGTGCCATTTCCGTCGATTTATTTTTTTGAAACCCAAACTGCTGCTCGGAGATTATATTATGTTTTGTGAAAAAACTAGTCAGGCGATTATTAATTATTTGTTCTAAAATTTTCGAAAAAATAGGAAGTACAGAAATCGGCCTGTAATTATTGAGGTCATTCCGTACACCACCCTTATGTACAACGCAAACGCGTGCTACTTTCATTCTGTCTGGAAAGCGACCAGTTAACAGTGACGTGTTGCATATGTGTGTTAGCGGAGTTAATATTAGACTGGAAATGCATTTAATTGGTTCAGCTTTGAGACCGTCTTCACCTGGGGCTGTACTGTTTTTAAGGCAAGCAATCAGGGTACTTATTTCTTCCTCGTCCGTAGGAGAAAAGAAAATTGAGCTAGTTACGTTATTACGTATATATGAAATGACATTAGCTGCATTGGTTGGGGAAGACGAGCATGCTCCTGATGTTAGAAAATGAGTATTAAACAAGTCTGAGAGCTGTTTACCTCCGTAGCTTTTGCCGTCAATTTTCAGTTCAGTAGGAGGTGGATCACTAGGCCTGGAAATCAAAGTTCCTACAGTGCTCCAGATTTTCTTAAAGTCACCTAGGATGCTCATAAATTTATTTATATAATATTCGCGACGTGCCTTTTTTAGGTCCGAGTTTAGTTTGTTTCGAACTTTTTTGAACTTGACAATGATATCTTTATCTCTTAGCTTAATAAATTTATCGTATATGGAGTCTCGATATTTTATTCTCTTATATAGCGTAGGAGTCACCCAAGGCTTTCTTGACTTCTTATGTTTTTTCAAGGTTCTTAGCGGGAAGGCATTATCATATAAAGATATGAGCTTGCTAATAAAAAGATTGTATGATATGTCTGGATCACTTTCATTATATACAAAGTCCCAATTGATATTAGACACCGAGGAGTAAAACATGTCAAGGTTTTCCTAGCTGATAGGTCGGTAAGTTATACAAGGGAAATACATGGGGCTTTTCCCAAGTCTCTTAAATAAACAAAATGTTGGCAGATGGTCGCTTACATTCCACGTTAACACCCCTCCTGTGAGTTCATTAGGATTACAATTCGTAATACACAAATCGATTACAGTAGCTGTTTCCAGTGTAACTCTTGTAGGTATATCAATTATGTTATGAAAGCCATAGCATTGTACAATCGCCATAAGGTTTATACACGTTGGGCTTAAAGACAGTATATCAATATTGAGATCGCCAATTAACGTTAACTGGAGACCTAGAGACGTAGCGTAATCCAATAGACTCTCAACAAAACCAAAAAAATTTGCAGTACAACCAGATGGCGGCCGATAAATCACAGCTATAATTATCTGTTCGTATTTAATGACCATAGACTCATAATCGCAGCAGATTGAGCAATATTCAGATAAAACAGTGTAGATAAGGTTGTGCCGTATATACAAAGAAACCCCCCCCTCCTCTTTTGTGTTTACGATACATACTTTCAGTCTGATAGCCATCAAACAAAACAGCGTCATCTTTGCAGGTATACCAAGTTTCGGTGAACGCCAGAACATCAAACATAACGTTCAACTGATTCAAGGAAATATCTAGCTCATCTTGTTTGTTCTTCAGGCTTCGTGCATTTAAGTGGAAAAGAGATAGTCCTCTTTCATTGGTGGAAGTATTTCTGACAAAATGTTTAAAGGAAGCAGAGTCATAATATGAACATTCTGTTTTGTTATCAATCATTTCAAACGGAAAACCGATATATGCTATCTGTAGCTATTTTATTTCTAGTTTATCTTCTGAAGATCGTCTTCATTTTCGATCTTGATAGCTCGGTCGCCCTGTCTCCTACGAACAAACACACTTCCGTCTTTTTGCCATGTGAACTGATAGTCCTTGCCTTTGCCTTTGTTAGCCACAACAGTTTCTTGTTTGCCGCTGTTAGATTGTCAAACAAGCGTATGCTAGACTGCCTTTCCCGCAAGCTTGAGTTCTTTTTAATCCACTTTTCCTTTGTTGCTCGTGAGTTGAAACGTATTAACACGACAGGGATCTTATCAGCACGAGCTGGCAAGCGGTGTATGCCCTCGACATCACTTTCAGCGAGTTCAGGAAGTTCCAGTTTGGCCACGAGTTCATTTACAGTGTGTAGAAGGTTCTCGTGTTCTTTCCGCGGTAAGCCATGTATTTCCAGATTTTGTCGACGACTGTATTGTTCTAGGTTGTTTACACTTATTCTTAGTTGTTGGACGTCAGGGCCACCATTGTTTCTCTCTACGTTTTCAAGTCTACTTTTTATTTCAGCTATTTCGTTGTCCTGTTCTTTAATATGCTTAAGGACTTCATCATATTGGTCTGACATGTGCTGAACTGATTTTTCGATGTTTACGATGGTTTCTTTCATGATCATTAGCGTGTCAACCTTTTCCGTAATTGTCGCCAGGCTTGTGAGTTTCACGTTGATTTCGGTTAACAGTGTAGCGACATCAGGTTCCTGATCCTTCTTGCCCTTTTGGGGATTTTGGGTGTATCTGACTTTTGGTTTCCGGCATGTCGAACACTTCCAATTTTTGGCTTTATAAGTCTTTTCATCCGTACCAGCACAATTCCCAAAATGGTAACCGTGACCACATTCCGAACATCTCGCAAAAACACCATTCACTGGTAAAGTTTTGTGACATGATAAACAAGGACCCTCGTCCTCCATGACACAGAGGCGCACACAAAAAAGAACGGCTCAGCAGTGGCAGCAGCTACGAACCTTAAAAATGGTTTTGCAAGAAAATTACACCAACCTGTAATGATGAAAGCGACGGTTTAGCTTGTTACGACAACCGGTCTGCTGCCACTGCTGAACGCCTGTAAGGGCCGTCCTCCCTGACCGCCTGCTCTTGTAGCACGACTGTTGTGCCGTAGGTGACGCAAGGATGACGTCTCTCAGATACAGCCAACCGTCAAGAAGGTCCTGGTCGATGATCCTTGGGCGACGTGGGTGACGCGGCGATATGGCGGTATGAGACGGTCGTGAAGTACCAGGGTGATAAAGCAGATCTGTAATGATGAAAGCGACGGTTTAGCTTGTCGACAACCGGTCTGCTGCCACTGCTGAACGCCTGTAAGGGCCGTCCTCCCTGACCGCCTGCTCTTGTAGCACGACTGTTGTGCCGTAGGTGACGCAAGGATGACGTCTCTCAGATACAGCCAACCGTCAAGAAGGTCCTGGTCGATGATCCTTGGGCGACGTGGGTGACGCGGCGATATGGCGGTATGAGACGGTCGTGAAGTACCAGGGTGATAAAGCAGATCTGTAATGATGAAAGCGACGGTTTAGCTTGTTACGACAACCGGTCTGCTGCCACTGCTGAACGCCTGTAAGGGCCGTCCTCCCTGACCGCCTGCTCTTGTAGCACGACTGTTGTGCCGTAGGTGACGCAAGGATGACGTCTCTCTGATACAGCCAACCGTCAAGAAGGTCCTGGTCGATGATCCTTGGGAGACGTGGGTGACGCGGCGATATGGCGGTATGAGACGGTCGTGAAGTACCAGGGTGATAAAGCAGATCTGTAATGATGAAAGCGACGGTTTAGCTTGTTACGACAACCGGTCTGCTGCCACTGCTGAACGCCTGTCAACTATGAAGGCCCAGCGCGTGCCATAGCGACCACATATCATGGCACAGGTTACACGTGCGAATTTATGGTGACCAAAATATTCTTCTTTCTCTTTTTTCTTCTATTAAAATATCTAGTTGCGAGTCAGCGCTCTGTTCTATCCGGTGTGTCTCTTCCCTTTTTGTCCTTTTGCGCTGTGTATTTGTCATTATGTATAACCAAAACCAACTAGCCCAACTTTCTACTTTAATAACTAGAAGTCTTATGGAACTCCCGAGTACTGTCAGTGTTCACTGTGAGGTTCAAATCGAATAACCCATTATTGTAATCGGTAATCGAAAGTTTGAAAAATGAACACAAACCTACCGTAACGATCCAGGAGTGTAATGGGGCATAGTTATTAGTTTTTGTATTGAGGAAACGAAATGATCTTCTAGCGCAAATTCTTCACGTTTCGGAGAAATGTAGTAGAAATTAGAATGTGGCAGGATAAGTAAGTACTTTCACGCAGTTTGGCGCAAGTGGTGCCGCAGTCACATCACTACGTACTGCGCAGCATTTCTGAAGGGTGACACTGCATGCCCGCCCACTGGATCACTAAAAAACATTTTTTTTTCTTTTTCCTCAGTTTACTTGGTGTTCTCTGGAATGCACAAAACATTTGGAAAGTGGAGTTTTTTTTTAATTTATGCTAATGGTAGTCATACATCAAACCGTAATTCGAATCGAAACGCGCTACGCCATTTTCACACTGAAACACACACCACTTTCGTGTGCGCACCGCGGAAGAAAACACAGCTATCGAACTCGAACAATTGTCAGCTTGCAATGCAGACGCAATCATGTGCTTTCTAAGGCCCTACGCACGTACCTTTTCTTCCACGTAGTAGTAAAACGATGGCATATATTTCGAGAAAGCAGAAGCCGACATCTTTATGTCGCATTCATCGATGGTAAGTGCAGCGTCGGTGTCTGCTATTTGTGATAATGGTATACCTAAATTAACGTACACACTGTAAGGATGCAGCTGAGCTAGGGGAAGCTAAACATGTTGAAAAGTGCCCGAGGTCGGGGTTACTCGTGGGGGAACACAAATACATAGGATATGTTTGTGTTGTCCACTAAGTAATCCCAGTCTCTGGTGATTTTCATCGTGGACAACCCTGCCGGTCGGAACAGAAACAGACACCTACAGCTGACGAGAAAAAAAAGGCTGAGAAGTCATCGAGCTATCGACCGAGGTCTCTCTCTCAGCAGAACCGCGCGCCCCTTTTCAAAACTCTGAAGTCAGGACGCCAGAAAGCGTCCCCCGGCAGCCCAGAGATTGTTCAGACGCGCGAAGCAGTTGGCGTCGGCCGGGGGTCATCCGGATCCGATGACGTCATTAATCTCGGGTGCTAAATGGTGCCCCTTTCTTGGAGTGCGCTTTGTGCGTCGCTGACGGGGAGGCGGCGGGGCGGCCGGCACCCCGGCGCGCACCCGCAGCTGCGTCCCACAATGGCAAGACGCCTCCGAATTAACGGCCCGGGAGGCTTCGACGGGGGGCCTCCTGCCCCCCGGCGCCCATTGTGCGCCGTTGTCCGACCGTCCCACTTGGGAGATCATGATCGCTTAGCCGGATCAACCCGCCTGAAATATGGACCAACTCCATCAGCGGCCCTGGCGCCGACAGCTTCTTTTCGGCCCGTCGACAGAGCGAGGCGCGAGCGATGGGCCCGTCCCGCGGAGGACGACCCGCTGCGCAGACCGGGGGTCTCGCGCCCCTTCGGGTACACGAGCGACCGGGGCGTCTTCCCGGACCCCGAGGGGGTCTTCCAAAGGTCCCGTTTGCGCGGGAAGGTGACTCCACGTTCCCCCTTTGAACAACTATCCAAAGACCCTGGCATTCCTGGTTACGTTGCCATCTTCCGACAAAATGCGAGCGTTGGACTCGGAACATACACAGCTTGGAACCTACAGAAAATAAGGAAGACGAGCAGGGGAGAAGGCTTCGCGTACGCTCTTGAATCCAGAAGCAATTGTAGCAAATGAAACGCGCACAAAATCTGCAGGCGTTATGGTGCTTTCGTAGAACGACTGATTTACGCGTGTTGCCAGAAATTGCTAAAACATTAGGTGTGGTCTTTGCTTTCTTTATTGTTGCTATGTCAACCAGTTAGCTGTTAACCAACGAAGCAAATGGTACAATGCACCCCAATTGATGTGCGATATTTTCTGAAAACCTCAACGATGAGATCCACGATCATAGTATTGCTGTTGAACAGTGCTGTACGAAATATACGTAACTGCTGCTGTATTTCGGCTGATGGCACAGTCGTTGTGCACAAGTGAAGACGGCATAAAAATTACATCAAACTCATGACCCTGGATCTCAAGATCTGGTGTGTTCGCGCGCTTGGAAAGCAGTTGAGCCGCTCCCTAAAATGGCGAGTTCGCCACGTTTGCCACACCATGCTTCTTTTTTTTTTCTTTTTTTCTTTGCGAATAAAGATGTGTTAGAGATGTCTGACCAAAAGAGTATTATTTAAACTTGATTGCGACATTGATCAGATTACTTTCAACGAGAAAATATAATGATCCACCCTGCGGGCTCTATGACGAGCTCGCGACGTGTGCTCATGTACGCGCGCCCATGTATTCAGGACTGTGCTCCGTTCATTGCCCGGCCATTACTCGTTGCGCATCCGTGCACTCAAAACTGCAGAAGCGTTGCCCGTTCTTCGTGTGCCCTTTCTAAGGTAGCAAGCGACTCAAACGGCTCTGGCTTCTTGAAGTGTATAGGAGTACAAGAAAATAAACAAACCGTCTTTTCCAGGCGCCTTCATCCCTCTCTCTCTCTCTCTTTTCTCTCACTTTCTCGATGTCTGATTGTGAATAACATGACGACATGGTGAAATAGCACTGAGATACCCGTTCCGTAGACATTTCGGAATGTACAGCTCAAACTCAGCACATGATCTCCAATAACCACTTCATGCCAAAAAAAAAAAAAAAAAAAAAAAAAAAAAAAAGCCCGCAGCAAGTTTTAACGTTTTAAATCCCTTCCCATTTTTTTTTTGGGGGGGGGGGGGTGGGGGGTGGGGGGCGGGGGGTAGGGGAGAGGAGTAACTGAACTAGAGGCGAATAACGACATCTGAATTTATTTATTTTTCCCCAGCTAAAGACTCGTTCACGCACTTGAGCTTGACTAGGACCGACTCAGAGAAGACCGGTTTTTAAGCTGCGACGGTTTACGACCAGTCTTAAAAACCGGCCTTGTCTGAGTCGGTCGTAGTCAAGCGCAAGAGTGTAAATGGACCTTAATATGAAAAATTGAGTAAAGGGCACGAGTTCGTATACGTCTTAGCGTTTTATTCGACGAATTTGACATTTGCCTAACCTATAGCCTCGACCAAATAGGCGTTGCGATCAATTTGAGGCGCGACGTAGCCGCTATGGTGCTGAAGGATAAAACAAACGCAGAGGGCGCGGCATTCGAGAAGAGGAGGCCAACGAGCCCGGTGACTCTCTGTTCGCGGTGGCCTCCCCGCCGGGCCACGAGAAGGGCAGACGCGGACGCAAGCGGAGCCAGCAACGCGGCAAGTGGGCGAGCGACCGGTGCACCCATGCGTACCGCGGGGGCGTCACCGCGTCAAATCGAATCGAACGCGTCTCCAAACATCAGCGCGACGGCCGACAGTCATCCCGCGAACAAAAACAGACGGTCCATTAGCCAGCAAATGGACGAAGCGGGTGGACCGGCGCTGAGTCAAGAGAATCCACCTGTGTCCTTTGTTGGCCCAAACTCGATTACAGTCCCTACACAGGGACGCCTTTAAAACGAGTCGCGGCGCCATCGCGCGCGCGCGATTGCATTCGCGGCCCAGGAACGAGCCTATGAAAAATGCGATTTTTCAACGCTGTCCCCGCGTCGCCCTCCACGTCGACGGAGGGGGGAAAGCTCGTCACAAAGTCCCAGTAAGAACGGCTGCGCGTAATGAAATGACGCAAACAGCGGAGAGGCGACGTCGATCCCTCTCCATATGGCCCACCGCCCGCGGCGTCAACTCCTACCGTATAAAAGAAACACATCACCCCCAAAAAAAGCCACCAAAAAAAGCCAGAAACATTTCTTTTTTTCCCCCTCTGTTTTCGCACCGTCGAAGGGACTTTTCGCCCGGAGCACCAGTCGCATCTAAAGCTGCCTTGGCTCCTATTACCGGCAGTAATGGTCTCCAATCTCATGGCTCGCGCACGGGCTCGACCCCCAGCGGCGGCGGGGGGAGCGGGGGCCGGGGCTCGGCGGTAGCCGGCAGCGATCAGACGCGGCGCGCTTCCGCTCGGCCGAACTCCCTCCGCTGCAACGCCGGCTCGGCAGCGTTGCACGTGCGCAGGGGTGAGGCGCTAATTGTGGCTAATGAAATCACTGCTCGCCAGAGTGGAAGATTAGCTCTAGCGTGAGCCACGGTGCCGGCGAGCGTTCAAACGCCACGGCAGCGCGCGCGCGAATAGACTCCAAAAAAAAGAAGAAAAAAGCGTGCACTCCCTCGCTCGGCCTATTCGTCCGTGCGGCGAATGGCTGTGTTCGTCGTCTAGCCCGTGCCCGGGCGTCCGAGCGCGTCGCGACTCCCGCATGGCCGCGCTGGCACGCATCAGCATAAACACGAGGGTCTCTCCAGAAGTCTATGGCCCTTGGCCTCCTGAGGTTTATGGACCGGGCTCAAGTGACGCGCGAGCCTGCAGCGTTTGCACGCGGACGCTGTTTGGACGCTCCCTTCGAAGCGTGCACGAGAGTGACTTATAGTCGTGACTCTAGTAGTTTCACGAGAGAGAGAAACTCAAGACACGCGATCGATTTGCCATGATGAAGGTTGTACGAGCGGCCTGCCTCCGTAACGAAGGCAAAGCGAACTTTTCAGGCATCGAGTTGTGCGGGAAAGCGCATCGGATATACTAATTGCACGCGGCATCGAGCACACGAACATGCGGACCCTCCTAAGAGCTGGTTTTCTTATCCACGCGCATTTGTCAATCGGGGGTAATTTTCATTTGACTCACGTGCCCAGATTAAACTCCCATTCATTTCTTAGATGGACGTGTTTCACGGAGCGTAGACCCGGTCGTTGCCACTGTAGCCGGTATGCGAGATGTCCGGCGTGCTTACCACCGTCTTCCGCTTCCCCGTCGTCATTAGGCGGAGACCTCAAGGTGCCCCCTCGAGACGGGTCGCCGGTGTCCTCCCGCATACCCCTCGCGGTGCGTACTCGCGCCGACGGTAACCGCGCTTTCAGTGACCGCCCACAACAGCGTCCCCTCGGAGGACTCGGGAGCAACGACGACGCCCCCCGCGATTTTGGGCATCGTCCACGCGAGCGGCGGCCGGCCGGCCCACGTCCCGAGCAATTATTATGATTCCAGCATGCTCCTTACGCGCTTCCCCGGGTCGCTGTTGGCGGTGGCGAGCGTCTCGTGCGTCGCTCGGCGGGAACAATGCGCCCAGATTCCATAAATCGCGATTCGGGCACGGCCCCCTCCCGGCTCAGGGCCGTAATTACGAGCCCGGCGCAGCGCGAGCGCGTGCCGCACGACAGGAGGCGCGTTCCGAGCACGACACGGACCTGACTCGATCGTTCGGGGGGGGCCGCTCGCGACACCGTTAGAGTACACTGCTCTCGGGACGGAGCCATCGGATGCATGGTCGCTCGATTGGCGATCCCATCAAAACTGCTTATAAACATGAGCGCCAAACTTACGTGTTCGGAGTCGTCTGCCCAAAACACACGCGCGCCCACGCCACACGGATTTCGTCTAAAACAAGATGGTGTGGTTCAGAGCCAATCGTGCGGCCGGGCAGAGTTCTTACGCGGGTATTGGAAACGGGGATGTATTATATCTGCGACCGCTCGATCGAGCGCGGTGTAATAAAATAGAGCATAATATAGAAATGACAAGAAGGGCAAATGCCGCGTGCGGTCGCTACCTTCCGTCGTACTTGGACTGCCCTCCCAAAGAGACGTCGAAGTGCGTATCAAAT